CCCCCGCCCCGCCCCCTCGCAGCCCCCTCCCCTCCCCCGCCAGCCGGGCTCCGCAAGCCTAGCGGGGCTGGGCTGGGCCGGGCTGAGCAGGGGGCACCTGGGACCGCAGGCTCGGGCCACCGCGCGCCGCGCCTCCCGCGTGTGCTCCGATCTAATGTGTGAGTGCGCGCGCGCCCTGCTTGTGACCGAGCGTGCGCCGGCCCACGGCCTGGGAGTCCTGTGCTGGGTATGTGCGGGGCGGGGGGAGGGTGCGTGTCGGGGGTGCGTGTGGGGCTGTGTGTGTCTACTCTCCGCGGTGTGCTTGGTGCTGCGTGAGTCGCAGCGTGTACCCGGGTCGTCCCCCGGTGTGCGTGGACATGCATATCTGTGTAGGGGTGTGCACCTGGACCAAGGGTGCGTGCACACCCCGTGGCTGAGCTTGCGGAGGACTCTCTGGGTCCTGGGCTGAGTGTGTGAGCGCCCCCGGGTGCTGTAATTCACTGAACAGGTCTGCAACCCTGCGCAGAGGCCTGGTCCTGTGGCCCGTGTGCGTGGTACCGAACTGTAACGGTGTCCACACACATCTGGGCGTCTGGTTGGATATGTGACTGCAGTACATCACCCTTATCCTTCCGACCAACACCCTCACCCCCCACCCCTCACGTGCCCAAAGCCGCTTGGCTCCCCTCTGGGTGGCTCCTGAGTAAACCAACCCGTCCCGCGCACAAGAGGCCTAGTCAGCCTTGCTCACCTCCTAAACCTCGGGTTCATACCCTGGTTCCACACGCCCTTGCTCCTGGCCACTTCTCTCTTGACTTGGAGGCAGCCTCCGTGTGCTTCCCACTCTTCCCGCCCTTTACCATTTCCGGTCGCTCAGGGGTCTGGAGGCAGTCACATCCGCCGCGAGTGAACCACGCACTGGGTACGATCCTGGTGCCGTCGGAAGACATAGAGAGCTGAGAGACTTCTCAGAGGCTGTGCCCAGACTAATCTGCTTAAGGGCGTTGGTGCCGCCTCAGACTGGCCTTCCTGCTCTCTATACACCCACGAACCCTCCATGGCTTCCTCTTAGTTCAGTGCAGTTCTAGTGACTTGGCTCTGCCTCCTCCCACATCACCACCCATCCCTTCCTCTCCCTGAAGACTTCTTCTAAGCCATGGGTGGGCAAACTTTTCTGTAAAGGCCAGATGGTAAATATTTTAGGCTTTGTTGGCCACACATCTCTGGCGCAACTATTTGGCCTGCCCTTGTAATGTAAAATCAGCATGAGCCATATATAAAGGAATGAGCAGGGCTGTGTTCTAATAAAACTTTATTTATAAACACTAAAATTTGAATTTCATGTCATTTTCACATGTCCTAAAACATTTTTCTTTTAATCCCCCCAACCATTTGAAAATAAGGCCAGGGATTTAGCTCAGTCATGCTGCGCCTGCCTCGGAAGTGCAAGGTCCTGAGTTCAATCCCTGGTACCACAAAAAAATAATATTGAAAACAAAGCCATTCCTAGCTCACACAGCTTTGAACACATCCCTAAGTCCATTATAACATCACCCTCAAATCTAATTTGTCCTACTACCCCCCAAAAGTCAGCTTCCTATTCTCCCTACCTGCATCTCTAGGGCCCTCTGCCCTGCCCCCAGCCCTCACTCCTGCTCTCAGGGGCTCCTGGATACCCTCTGCCTGGGACTCCTGCCCACCTTGCCTCCTGCCTCTTGCAGCAACTTGGCATTCCTCTGCTTGGGAGGAAGTGCTGTTTCAACTCTGTGCTCCCCATTGGCCTTGTTCTGGGCATCATGTAAGCCCAGGTACTGGCCCCCACGTGCCCACCTAGGTACACACTACTGTGTCTCTCTATTTCCACTGCTCCCAGCAAAGGCATGAAAGTGAAGGGACAGGGACATGCCAGGCAACCTGGGAACCCAGGGTCTGGGGCTTACCCCCAGGTAGGAGACTTTCTCAGTCTATAGCACTCATCTGTCTCCTGGGTCTGGGTCAGCTTTTCCTTTACCTTATAAGCTCTGTTCCCCTCAGGACTATGTGCCCTACAGATCAGGAACAAGGTCTGAGCGCCAAATGTGCCTCTTTATCCTTTAATTTTTTTTTTTTTTTTGTACTGAGGATTGAACTCAGGACCTTGTGCTTGCTTGGCAGGCACCAGAACCACTGAGCTAAATCCCTGGCCCTAATTTTTGTTGTTTTTGAGGCAGAGTCTAGCTAAATTGCTGAGGCCGGCCTCGAACTTGCCATCCTCCTGCCTAAGGCTCCCAACAAACTGGGATTACAGGTATGTGCCCCCACTCCTGGCTTATGTCTTTAATTAATGGTTTTAAGTGAATAAATTATGGCTATATATAGTGTAAATTTAAAAATTACCACAAGATGACCATTGGAAAGGAAGTAGACACCACAGTCCCAGCCACCCAGTCTCCCTCTAAGTATGTAACTGTCATGACATATGTGCTTCTCATCGCAAAGCCATTTTCTTATCCACTGTGCTTACATCTTGACACCCTTTGGGGTTATTTATCTGCAGTGCTGGGGATGGAACCCAGGGCCTTGTATGTGCCAGGCATACACTCTACCATGTAGCTAAACACTCATCTCTTTAGTTTTTAAAAATAAGATACAGAACATTCTTGCCAGTGCCAGGGTCCCAACCCCTCCTCAAAGGATGTACTAGGAGGTCCCTCTCCTGCCCCCACCATTGTGTGGGCGAGAAAGTGGGACTGTCCTGCCCTGCCCACAGCCGGTGCTGTGGAAGGCTTCTGAGGGGCTGCTCCTTGCTCTCTGTCCTCTCCCTACACAGGGCTTTGTTTTCTCGACCTTTCCAGATTCCCAAGCTTCTTGGGAGGCCTGGGAGGAAGGGGGGGCTGCCTTGGTTAGGGCCATACCAAAGTCCGCCTCCGCCTCCCCATGAGTGCTCTCAGTCTGTGGGGCTGTGTGAGTGGAGAAGACAAGCGACTTACTCTGTCACACATAGCCAGCCCCTGGCAGTCTCCCAGCACCGGCACTATGGTACCAGGATCCCCCTCTGAGATCTGTGACTTCCTCCTATGAGTTTCAGAAGCTGGCCTGGTAGACAGAAGGGGCTCAGCAATCTGAATCCCACAGTAATTGGGACCTGGGTTCTAATTCAGCTCTGTTGTCTGTCCTGGTCAGCCTCTATTTCCCCATCTGCAGAGTGGAAAGAATCACTGCCCTGGCATCCCGTGGGCGTCAGTGACACCTGGGTGTCTGTGATCTCCCTCTCCCTCTCACTTCCTCTCCTTAGAGAGGCTGTGGGGAACCAGGCTTGATAGGTGGTCCCCCGACCCAGCCCCTCCATAGATGCCGACAAGGAGTCTGCTGAGCCCTGCCTGGGAGAAGCCCAGATACAAGATTAGCCAGCCCCAGGCAGTGTCAACTTACAGCCCTTCTGTCCCCTTTTACCTGGGGCTAATTTGGCTCCAGGAACAATTGCTAGATCTGTTATCCCCTCAGTACCTGCTGCCTGGCCTGCCAGGGGAACTGCATTCCACCCTCTCTGGGTCTTTATACTCCAGGCCCCAGGCTTCCAGGTGGGGGCTTCCTGACCATGCCTCCAGGGCCACACATCAGCCTACCAGGGCTCCTGGAGCAGCCAGCAGGGTGGGGCAGTGGCAGAGTGAACTGGCTTCACTCCTTCAGGTTGGGCTGGGCTCTGTATCTAAAGTCTTGGCTGGAGCCAGCTGCAGGGCAGGGAGTGGGGAGGCCAGGGCAGGTGGACAATGCAAAAGGGCAGCACTGGGCAGGTGCCAGAGCATTCAGCAAATGTTTGGTCTCCTTTCTTCTCTGTTACCTATTAAGTGAAGTCAGCAAACCTCCTCACCCTTTCCCCCATACCATTCCATTCATTGGTCCATCCATTCTGGGCTGAGCCCCACCCAAGACCCAGCAGGCAGGCCTCCGAAAAGCCTGCACCTTCTCCAACTCTTCTCATCCCTGCACCTGGCTTATGTAAGCCCTGCCCAGAAAGCCTTTCTGGAAACACTGCTTATCCTTCAAGGTTTAGCCCAGGGACTGGGGGCACAACTCAGTGGTAGGCTACCAGCTTAGCATGCACAAGGTTTAATCCTGATATAGGAGAAATAATATAACCCCCAACCTGCAAGATGTCAGATACGTGGAGTTCAGGCTCTCCAAAATCAAAGAATGAATTCTAAGGAACAATGGAGGTTAAGAGTAGGAAGATTTTATTGAGAGAGATTGCTCCTGAGAGACAGGAGGGGACCTGAAAGTGGGTTGCCAATGAGCCCACTTCTCAGAGGAAGTTTTGTAGAGCAAAATCATGAGGTGGGTAAAACATGGGTCAAAACTATGATCAACCAATAAGATTACAAGCCCCAAGTTCAATCCCTGTTACCAACCCCCCCAAAAAACAATAAGATTACAGTATAGCCACTTAGATAATATTGATCCAATGGGGGAAGCAGGCTTCATAGCAAGTGTATGTGGAAAGAAAAAGACCTTTTAGGAAGGGATGGATCAGGAGGTCCTAGTCACCCACCTGGGTGACTGATGGCTATCTAGGCTTTATTGGATCAGGTCATACCACTTTATCTTATCCCTTGGGGAGGTATGCAGTCCCGGTCTTTCTGTCTTTATCTTGAGGCCTGACCTCCAACACTTGCACCTCCAGCCACATTTGTGATGTGTTCTCATCCTCTGCACTGACTCCCTCGAGGGCCTCGCCCTGTCTGACTGCCTAGAATATTTCTACCTAACTTAGCTGTCTATAATAATCCCAGCACCAAAAATAAAATAAAATGCCTAGAATCGTAGCAGGATTATAGGGGAAGCTGAGGCAGGAGGATTGGTGTGAAGTTCAAGGCCAGCCAGAGTTACATAATGAGTTCAAGGCCACCTTGAACTACATGAGACCTTGTCACAAAAATAACCCTAAATGAATAAATAAGGCAAAGTAAAATAAAATGGCTAGTGAGGCCTAACTAGTCTTAGTTCAGACCTAAGGCTCATTAAAGATAGATAGGTAGATGATACACAGATAGATAGACAAAAAGATCCACCCCAGATAGCCCACTTCCCTGAAGGTCCCTGAAGGGGCTTCAGCTTCTAGAGGCCTTCTGCTCAGCTCCATCAGAAGAATTCCAGCCTCAAGGCCTTTGTGCTCCTGGGCTTTGCCCAGAATGGCCTTCCCAGCCTGGTCTCAGAGTATCCACAACACCATCCCAGTCCCCATCCCAGCCTCCAGGGCCCAGCTCAAATGCCACCTCTCCAGTCTCCCCTCCTGAGCTACTTATTCTGCCCCCCCACCCCCCGTGGTGTGCAGAAACTGGGCTCACCTGGCCCTGGAGTGAGCTCTTAGGGCACTGAGATGAGAGCCCCCACACACACACCCTGGCTCCTAGTTGATACTTGGGGCGAGAGGCCCTAAGGCAGGGGTCCCTGGGGCTCCACATTGGGTGTCTAGGCCAAGTCCAGCTGATCAGCCCCTCTGTGCCGGGCTGACCTTGGGCAAGTCCCTTCCTCTGTGAGCCTCAGTTCCTGGCCTTTTCAAGTAGGGACAAGGGATTGGATAGGGATCCATTCCTTGAAGGGTCAGGGTGTCCAGGAAGCTCCTAAAATTCCTGGGAACATGATATGTATGTGTTTGTGAGTATGTGTATGTGTGAGCATGGGTGTGGTCTGTGTGTGGATGTGTGAGCAGGTACATGCATGTGTGAATGTGGTGGTGTGGGTGTGCATGTGCACTCTCACCTGTGTGCAAGGACGTGAGCATGCTCAGTGCATGTTCTCCAGGGGCTGGGGGAGGCCTTGGCGTCACCAGGTTCTCAGGGGCTCAGGAACCAGTTGAAGAATGGTGGGCAGCGTCTCTGCCAGGCCTGGAAGTTCAGGCAGACTTCGAAACACAGCAAAGGAGGGAAACAGTGTCCAGGCTGAGGAATAGGAAAACAAAGGCAGCGTGTGGGAGGGCGCTCTGTGCATTTAAGGGAGGGCTGGTCACAGCAGCTCGGTGGGGGAACACTCAGGGAAGTCCTTGAGGTGAGGACCCCTGCAGGCTCCGAGGGTGCCTAGGTCCGGGTCCCTAGGCAGAAGCTGAGCAAGTGGCCCCAACCTCAGCTGTGACTGGCCCAGGAGGATGGCCTGCTGGAGTAGTGCCTGAGGGGACCAGGCTGAGTCACACCGGTGGCCCCAACTGGCTTCAGGCTCTCAGTGCATACAGGTGGCCCCTGGCTGCGGTTCACCCACGGGGCTTCCCTGCCTCATGCATGCACACGCATGCCTGTCACA